TGTTTTTAAAACAAAAGGGAAATCAGTTCCCAAACAGTACAAATTAACATCAATTCGACGCTATGTATCAGTAAAATGTATACCTTTTATTCAGTACTGAGGTTAAGTGTATAACAGTTATGCTATAATAAGATTGCTCGATAAATTTTATTCAGGTATGCAAAATTAAAGATGCTAAGTCTATAAATCTCGAACAACAATCTCGAAGCCAAATAATCACAATTTATTGTCAACGAAAACACGCATTTACCAAAATTGAAAGGTAATAAATTATTTAAAATCATATCTTGTTTATGCTGTTTCTAATGATGAAAATTTGAATTTAATAATATAAAGATTTTCTCTTAGAAAGTGCTCAAACCTAGCAACTTCATCACCTCTATGTTAAATCCTCACTCTAATTAAATTTACATAAAAAAACCCAAACAGAACTTACTAGGTCTGAGTAATATATTACATGATATGTAAGAGGCTATATTGTTGATAAATAATCCTTTAAGGAATTTTGAATGAAAATGTAAGATTTTTCAAACGAAAAGCAGGAAAAGTATTTGCTACAAAGATAGCTGCAAATACCATTTAACTGAGATCTTCTTCAAAGTTTCCTACCCATTTCTTTTAATTTAATGTACATTCACGTCTCTTTCTTCCTTTCATCTACGTCTTTAATTTATATACATTACCATTTCTAAAGAAAGGGGCATGCATTTGAGTTGACAAAAGAGACAAACAAACTTTAAACAGAAGAGACAAGCAAACCAAAAATAGACAGGAAAAAAATTAGCCTTACGTACTTCGTATTCTTTGCGTTACCTTCAACTTTGAGACTTACTGGATTCGGTTGTTTGCATTACGGCAAAGCGCAGAATGACTGCCGAACAGGAAAGGTGCCTTTGTGAAAAATTTCCTAAGGGGAACCGGCTCTCTTTCACTTTACACATGAGAAAAAAACCTCATTTAGGATGGAATTCTTCCATATTGCGATTTTTAAATGCGTACGGAGCTTATAAAATTCCCACTTATCAGTACTAGCGTAAGTACGAGGGCTATCCAGAAAGTAGATTACGTTTTGGAATAAAAAAATAAACAAAGTATAGGAAACAAATTTTATTATATACAGATGAAAGCCACACTCAAATACTACTTTTCTACATAGTCACCATACAAATTAAGGCATTTATCGTAGCGATGTACGAGCTTGGAAATTCCTTCGTCGAAAAAAATTCGGCCCGCCTGCGCCTTCAACCACTTCGTTACCTCTTCTTGCAGCTGTGCGTCGTCATCAAAACGCTGCATAGCCAGCCACTTCTTCATTGCTGGGAATAGGTGGGGAAGTCGCTCGGTGCCAGGTCGGGACTGTACGGCGGATGAGGAAAACAACTCCCACTTAAAAGATTCAAGAACTTTACGAGTGACATTTGCCGTGTGGGGTGGGCCGGGCGTTGTCGTGAATCAACAAGATCTTAGAGCTCAACATTCCTCTGCGCTTGTTTTGAATTGCTCTTCTGAGTTTTTGGAGAGTTTGGCAATACCTTTGAGAGTTTATTGTAGTGCCTCTTTCCAGGAAGTCCACCAAAATTACACCTTTTCTGTCCCAAAAAACAACAGTCGCCATCATCTTCCTTGCCGACATTGTTTGCATGCATTTCTTGGGTTTTTGGGGAGAACTTGTGTGCCCCCACTGCATGATTGCAATTTCGCAATTTCGTTCACAGTTCACATGTTTCACCCATGTTTCGTCACCAGTAACGATGCGATCGAGTAAAGAGTCACCATCCTTATGGTAAGCGTCCAAAAAGTTCAACGCTGCAGCCATTCACTGATTTTTGTGGTCCTCTGTCAAGATTTTTGGAATCCATCTTGCACAAAAACTTGTGGTAACCAAGCTTTTCGCTGATGATTTCGTGCAACAAACTTCGCGAAATTTGTGGAAAACTCAAAAAGAAAGTTCCGTTATTGTGAAATTTTGATTTTCACGGACTTTAGCATCGACTTTTTCGAGAAGTTCGGCGGTCACTATGCTGGGTCTCCCACTTCGATCTTCGTCGTGAACATTGGTTCGGCCATTTTGAAATCTTATGACCCACTGACGCACTCCACCTTCAGTGATAATGTTGTCCCCATACACTTCACGAAGCTGCCGATAGATTTCTATCGGTTTACAGTTTTTTGCAGTCAGAAACCTTATTACTGAGCGCACCTCGCAGCTCGCGGGATTTTCAATTAACGCAGACATTTCAAACCGTCACAGTATCTGAACGGAGCACAGCACGAACCTCTCACTAGCACGGCTAGATGCAGACTGAGCTGCGCAACGCTCTGACCCCAAGATGACCGCGCTAGCCCCGCCCCTAGCGGACACAGACGGAAACGTAATCTACTTCCTGGATGGCCCTCGTATTATTAAAAAAAATTAAACACAAATAAACAATTTTTAATTTCCAATCATCCTGTGACGTCTAGAATGCCAGTACATTATTTTAATTTGTCCCAACATAACTGTCTATAATTTTCCTACTCAAGAACAGCAAGTACACTTAACAATTATAGTTTACTCGTTATTCATGTGTGTAGCAACTGAAACTCATAACCAGTGCGTACTTAAAGTGTAGCCCAGTGTATTTCGTATACTGCCATTACTTACTCGCAAAACATAAATTCCTACAGTTTAAGTTCCCATGTGTTATACAATCCAGTTAAATACAATCCAGTATCTCTTAAAAACTTAGTTTTTAAACTCTTAAAAAACTTAGTTTAGTTTAAACTAAAACTTCATTAGATTTTTTTGAAATGAGCAATACCCTCGCGGGACTCGAACCTGGATCTCTCGAATAAGCGCCGAGTATGCAACCGTTACACGACGAAGGCATGTTGGAAGGAGGGAGCAAATACCGAAGTCAAGCAGCATCGGACGCTCTCAGTACTTGAGAGGGTGATCTTATCTTCAAAAGCATTCCTGACTGAGGCGGATAACTATCACATGCTTTATCATATTCGACTAAGGAAATAAATATCTTTTTTCTAAGGCTTCTGATAAAGGATTTCTTCGAAAAGTATGAATTTCTGTTTGAAATTTGCCGAAATCCATTCCATTTATAAGTGCCTTAAGTTGTAGATAATTGTTAATTATTATTCCTAAGCTATAAGTTACTGTAAGTTATCAATAAACGCCACTTTCGTTTTCTAGAAGTTTGTGCTTTTTTAATAATGTATTCCTAGTGATGTACTTCCGTTTTCGCTCTGTATGACGTAGTATACTCTTTAAAAATCCTTTTGCACTTCTTTTAATGCCTTTTATTGCCTTTTTTCTTCCTAAGTTCACTTCTTTAATAAAAAGGCCCAGCTGTCTTCAGGGTCATGGATAAAGTATTACTCTCTTTGAAAATACCGAAGTTTATGCTATCTGTTTTCCTACTTTCGATGGGAACATATTCTTACATCCTCGATATATGAAATAGAACTGATAACCTGTTTTGTATGCCAAAGAAAATATTAGTTATTATTTTAATTCCTGTAAAACCTGAAGTACTATCTTATATAAAAATCTCCTAATTAAAGACACGTTTCCAAAAATATCTGTATCTGTGTCTGAATTCAAATGCGCTGCTATTGGGCCTCGTGTACAAAGTGTATTATGCAATTTAAACCTACAATTAGAAATTAGAAATACTTTCCTTCAAATTATTAATATAACTTTTTGTTTTAAATTTGAATTTATTGAAAATAAACCTTGCAGCATCGTAAAAACTACACTTATTATATTATTATTCATAGGCTATCAGTTAAGACTGTTATATCACACGGCAGTTTGTCGCAAAAACAGTAGCTCTCGACAGGTATTAAGTTTGTGACCATAGAACGGTCCCAAAGAGAGAAGGCACTAATTCATTTTTCATGTGGAATACAAATTTCCTTAAAGTACTCCAAAATAAGTATGGATCTAGAGTGAGTAAGCTGATCAACAGAATAATATAGTGATACAACATTAATTTAATAATTATATATTATTTAAACTTAGTAACATGTGTATATTATTTCTGCTTTATGTCCTTGTATTTCAAAATGAGTACATACAAAGGTTTTGGATTTCTAAACTTTTAGCTGACCTTAATTTTGAGTGTGTAAATAACATTATAGTTGTCTACAAGGGTAATTTATTTCTTGAAGTCTAATTTAAATATGTAGGTTTATAGGCATACTACTAACTCTTGTTTCGTTATTATTCTTTTACAAATTAAAATAACTATGCTTGGTGTTACAATTAGCTTATAAATTTATTATAAGAAAATTCTTGATTATTATATATTATCTTTTGCTTAGTTATTATTTAACAAAGTGACTTCAGCTTTATCTCATTTTAATTTCAAAAGAAATTAAAATAATTACACATCTGACAACCTTCTTGACCTGAGTGTCTATTTCTATGCGAATGTTATGATGCTTTAATGCATTTCATAGATCACTCCAGCTCCAGTAGTCTGACTGCATGTCAGTAGTATTGTATATGACCCATACAATTGATATAAAACAAGATTATGACAATGCTTTAGCATTAAATGTCATCAATATTATCTGCGAGTTGATTTATTGAAAATGTGATATAAAACTTAGTTTACCGCTTAAAATGCAATATAAATTATGTATCGATGAATTTATTTGTATCTTAGTTTTATTACACGCAAGTTTAACTATTTTGAAGGCGAAGAAAAATTTCCCGATCACTAAATATATAGTAGGGCTAGGTTAAAAAGGTAAAATAAAATATAAGCCCTGTTTATTTAAAAAAAACAATGTAAAATATTTTATATAGACTTTGAAAAGATTACATTAATTAATTATTATTTCTTTTAATATTTTAAGACAGTTTTTTTAAATATTATTTACATTCCTGCAAGAAAATGTTGCTATACAAAATGAAGTGTCACATTGTACTTTTTATATTGCTTGGAAGTATTAGAAACTTCTCAATTGCATTTAACGTTCTAAATATTTTTAATCAGGTATGGTTCCAAAATCGAAGAGCAAAGTTCAGGAAACAAGAAAGACTAAATCAACAAAAACAAGCACAACAGCAGTCCAATCAGAAATCCAGTAACAACAATAATGCTTCCAATAACCAATCGACGTCAAGTAGCAGTAGCAACGGCAGTGGAAACGGTCTTCTTATCAACAGTAACGGATCGTCCAAAGATTCTAATAATGACAATTCGAAAGTGGTATCTTCAATGATGCCTCCTCCACCTCCACCAAACACTAAATCTCTTAACGGTAAGAATTATCCCCAAAACTCTTTCCTTTAACAATATAAGTATATTTATGTTGTACTTGTAAGAAGTAAAATTTTGATGGGAAAAAGGACATAAAACTTTAATTTCACTCTGCTGAATCATAAATAAGAAATAACTTTATTTAAGTATGTTTTTAACCTGTTATCTTCCTGTTATATAAGTTCATAAAGTTGTGTATCTATTGATTCTGTAATAGGCAAATAGAAGAAGTTATCTTCTTGAATGTTTGGACAAAAAAGCAGCTGTTTTGCGTTTTAAGATATTAGCTTATAACCATAGCCAAACAAACACGCTAAAGACTAAATGCAAAAAATAACAATTATCAACAAGAAAAGTTGTTGTTGAAAATTGTCACCTTTAACATTAGTTTATGATTTGCTCAGTTAATTTCGTTGCTCTTGTATATTTTTATATTCTCAAAAATTTATTTACATATATTTGCACAATACGTAAGTTTATCTCTATATATCTATATGCTTTCTTATTAATTCATAAAATATACTATGTTTGTTGTAACATACCTATGAACATTTATTTATTATGATAATTGACTAGATCCTCAGCCTATAATACTTATAATCGATAGTTTCAATTACATTTAAACAATTATGTCAGCTAATGCTTTGAAATCTCTTTAGTATCACATATTTTAAATAAAAAGCTGTATAATTATGGCTTTATTTTACTTTACAGTACAATTAATTTCAGCTTTAGAACAAATACATGCTTCGTGTTGAAGATGATTGTATTTAATGTTATTTATAGTATTTAACTATTGAATATAAAAGGGTAATGATTGATGAGAAATTATTTACATTGAATAAAAGTGAAACCTGAGTAAGTCGTGAGATGACAACGAAACTCAAATGGTGCAAATCGTTAAAAGCTTGTCTAAATTTAGATGCTTCATAAGTGGAGATTTCTAAATGTAGCAACACTTTTTTATTGCATATATTTATGCCCATCATACAGGTGAGTTATAATCCAAACAAATTACTTAGCTCTAGTCAGCCAAAAGAGGATGAAAATTCTATATCAGGTGAGTTTAATCACTCATAACTCAGTTTAAATGATACTTTTCCATCTATTGGATTACTCTAGAAAAGCAGTCTAATATGCAAATCTGTCGAAACAAGAAGTCATAATCTATTGGTAAGGAAATACGCGATATTTAAAGAACGTCCTTCACTTGTTAAATATCTCACCGTTTTAATGTAATGGTATCATAATTGAAAATGAGAGAGATAAAAATGACGAGCTTAACATAGATTACCATCAAAGCCTTATTGTGTATATGATTTCAATCCCAACATAAAATGACATTTCAAGTGAAATACAATGAAAAAAATATATGTAATAAGTACACCGACAATAAGTTGGATTACTAAGGAAATATGCTTTTAATTACTCGAATTATAAAAATTTGCTAAAGGATCTCTAGACATGTTGATTTTAAATGCTCTATAACGGTCTTTATGGACTGAACAGAATATGCCAAAGGTTAGATTTTATTTAATTTTTTATTAGGACGAAGCAGTGTTTCTCTTAATAAAAAAATTGATATTTACCAAGCAGCTTGAATGTTTCTTGCACACACATAATTAGGAAGATAAATATTGTCACTTGATCACGAAGTCACGTACTTGCCTATGACAAGGTAAGTAGACTACGTGAAACTTCAATAAAAATAAAGGAAAGTAACATGCAGAATATAAAACTTGTGATTGCAAATAGATTCTTGTGAAAATATTTTATAATCCAAGGATTTTGAAATCAGTGCCAAAAGTTTATTTAGTCATTTTTCTTCATAGAAACATTCAACAAGCATAATACCATATTTTTATTCCCCAGGAATCTTTATATTCGCAATTCAAATCTTTAACTTTCGTTAACACTCTATTTTTATAGACATAAAATAAACTCAACAAAAAGACTAAAAACTTGTAAATAAAACTTTCAATCGTTGAATTAAACTGCAAGATATCGTCTTTACGGAAACTAAAAAACGTTCTCTAAGACCTTCATTGGCGACGGTTAGTATTATCTTATTTTTATTCTGCATGCAAGGATATGAAGGAAGAAGTGTCTGTCTTCGTTACCATCACCGTGTTTCAAGTCAGTAGCATGTAAAAATATATTTAAGAAAAGCAATCACATGAGATGACTAGAAAAGATGCGTATCAAGCTGTAGAAAGGTGAAAATATTTATTTTTTGCTCTGGTTAAGATGCTTTTAAAAATATATATTCTACATTTCATTGTGATCGTGACACGAAATGAAATTACAGGTTTTGGATTCTCTACGAATTTTAAGAAACACTGCTGTGAAGATCATTGTGAATGTGTTGAGGAAAGAAAATTACTACCATTTCCAAGCAATGCAGTAATACGAGACGTGTCTTCATGCCTGATCAACTGCTTAAAGAACCGTCAATGAAATTCCAATTGTTGAAGGACAAACAAATGCTTCATAATTTAGGCAAAGAACATCTGGTAATAGTTATAAATACTCCCAATTTTTTAAAACTTTTATGCTACTCAAGAAGCTCTTTTTTTATCTCTCTCATTTCTAACGTATTCAATATATGAAACAATAGCTTCATTCTTGAACTAAATGAAATATAAAAGTTAGAATTATATTCTAGTGATGATATACGTATATCAGTACTACTTCTTAAGTAAATTCTTCTGACAGTAACTTAACTAAAACTCAAAAATATATAAATTCCTGTCATTAACGTTTTCTTCACAGACTTTAGCCTTAGTTTACATTGTGAAAAATTAAAGAAGTCTCTACAGTGTTTTAAAAATGGAAACAAATTGGTCTTTTTCATTACAGTTCGAAAGAATATTAATTTTACATTCGCATTTTATATTGTTAATGAAAATACCTTATGTTTGCTTTAATGAAAACGCAAAGTAAAGCAATAACAGATGATTTAAAACTATCAGTCATGTTAAAATCATTGGAATTGGAATTCTGCAGGTAAAAATAAGGTAAAAACTTCAAGATTCATTTTAATTCAAGATTCAGAGTTCAAGATTAATTTTTTCTTCTTCCCTAAATTTTTAAAATGATGGATATATTTTTCCCTGCCTAGTTTTCAGACAAAACCTTCAACAGTTTTGATCATAATATAGATTATTTTACACGCCTAAACATATACATATTGATATATCTTCGTCACAGAAACTGCCACAGTAAATATAGCGATGAAAAATGTTTGTCTATTTTTTAATTTATATAAGTCAGTTAATGCCATTTGTTTTGGATTGCAAATATAAGGGATTATGTACAATAGGCATGTCAAACTCAGTACCTCTGTGTCAAAGGGCCTTCATTTTACAATAGTTTGGGCCGAAAGAAAAAACTACTTTTTATACATAATGATATCTTCAAAGCAAGTGAATACAAAAAGTCTTACCTAATGCTGTAGTTATTTAAATAAAGGGAATATAAGCAAATCGTCATCACATACGGATATCTGTTGTTTCTTTCCTAATAACTGACACTTCGTTTTCATTCAGCTAGCTTTGGAGTCATGCTGCTCGCGCTAGCTATTCAAATGAGCGTCTCTTAGCTTTGCTCTCGTTAGGGATGTGGTACTTTTTATAAGTGAGAAAAATTGTTCACACTGATAGGTATTACCAAACATAGAAATCACGAATAAAGCAAATCTGCAGGTACATGAGATCCAAGGAAGCAGGTATTTGTAAAATTCGGGCATATCCCCTTCACTGAATTTTTGTTTTAGAGTTGCGTTCCACCGAATTTGCGTTAATTCCATGCGGTTCAATTTGGAGTGGATTTCCAAGTTATAATCATATATTATAATTATGCAACTTCATTTTTATTTTCACGGATGAACCGAAGGCCACAGAAAAATGAGTCAAAGACCGCATGGCAGCTCGCAGGCTGAGATTTTGATATGCCTGGTGTACAAGTAAAATCCTTTCTTACAAAGAATCTTTTCTAGAGTATTGTAAATTATTGTATGTGTTACCTAGTATACTGTATAAAAGACAGCAAGTACATTTTGCTTCTCAAATTAAGGCTAAAATTGGCCTTAATTTGAATGGTTAAACAGTGCAATACATTACATAGACACCCAGTAAATCTTGGGTTACATTATCTGTTTTCAACAAGTAATAGTTGTAGTTAATTCTATCACTCATATAAATTAGCCAACATTTGCTATTATAAGCAGGCTCCAGATTATATTAACTATTAACTGCTTAATTAATTTATTAGTGTTCCTTCTTTACCTTTCATTATCTCTGATGCAGAATTTGATAGTGAACTTATCATTAAAGGATTTTATTTATTATAATTTCATTGAGTTATTGTTGTTCATATTAGGACTTTTATCAATCGGTGTAAAAAGTAATTGCCAAAAGCAAATTATTTGTCATTCTATGACAGCAGAATATAGTTTGTTAGTTAATTAAACATTGCTATAGCAATATACACAAAACAGCAATTAAATTTTCAGATTTCAAACAAAGTAGCTGCGTCAGTCTTCTATATTACAGTTTTTGTTTTTGCAGGGAAATCTCTTCTCGATGCAAAGTGGAGTGGATCTCCGAATCCGTCTCCGTGTGCGCAGAAATCTGCCCAGCTTAACTCTCCCGTCCTACCTCCGTCCTCCTTCTCCCTCTCCTTTCCTCTCAGTCCACCTGTAGACAGTAAAGCCAACATCTTTTGAGTACTTTTCCTCTCTTTTCCTGGATCCCATTCATCAGAATCGGGAGAGGAGTGACGGAGGCAGTTGTTTACTTTCTGTAATGTGACAATATGATTTAATAAAGTTCGAAAAATGTGTTATGTATTTTCTCATGTATTTGTCTTTCAAATTTTGGATAAGAGCATTTTTACACTCCTTTAAGAAATACGGCCTTGATTCACTTAAGCTACCATCAATTGCTCAGAATAGTTCTAAGAAGAATTACTTCGAGGGAAAATAAGCATTTACATTACATTCTAAATGTTTGGATAAACTAAAAACGCCATCTCTCATTTTTCTCTATATTCGCAGACTAGAGAGGCATTATAAAATAAACACATATTCCTTTCTTAGAAAGGTTCATTAAAATGTTTGAAATGGGAGATTTTAAATTTTAAACTATTGAATCTATAACTAATAATCTTCAGTAAATTCGTTCACTTGCTGATAAAAGTACTTACATGAATGTATACATAAACATATTAGTCCTCATATTTATTGACTATTCACTTCCTACAAATTACATGGTAAATTTAAATTTACTTGAAAATTTTAATTTAACAAAATATTAAAAATTAAAAATTAACTAAGCGATTAAAATTGAAAGATGGGTAAAGAGAAAAATATTGTTGTACTGACTCATCGTCATAGAATTCACTGAATTCAGAAATAAATACTTATATTATTTTAAATACTATAAATCCAGATTTTGTTGATCAAATGAAAAAAGAAGACCATTTGAAATGTGATAAAAAGTTTTATAGTTTTATATTTCAAGAACCTATTTAACAAGTTATTAAATGTAAACACTAACGAGGAAAACTAAGCAGGAAAGGCTCCATTTAGTACTGATCTAGAACTTAAGGAATTAAAATGTCAGATCTACAGAACTGATTTAATCATATTTTAATCAGATGTATATAAAAGATCGCAATCAAAATGTACTTTAAATATAATTTTGTATATAAACTCTGCATGTAACAATTTTCAAAATAAACCAAGACATAGAATATATTAAGATAAATATAGCTACAGCTTTTCTTGATAATCTTACTTCAGTAAGAGAGAAAATAGCTATTATTTTATTCTTCTAAGATAGTTAAGATTACTCTTCTGTAGCTAAAAGCTTTCTGAAAAGTAATGTTACATTCATCAAAAATATGAACTTTTTGCAAAAACAGTCGATAAATTTCTTCAGTTATAATACTATTCCCTATCTTTTCAATGCCCTACACACCTTCGGGATACACGATTAGAGTTCGCATGTGCAGCAAAAATAATATCATATTTGAGGATGAAAAAGTCTTATTTCTGTTTAGAAACTGGTTTCATCACTCAAGGATTCAAGGCCATCCTTTACTGTATCCTTTGAAACTTTATCTTGCGTCTTAGATTAGGAATTTTTGAACTAAAGAAACGAATGCCTTGAACAATGAGAAACAGTATTCTGTCTCTTGTGATACACGCACCATCTATTACTTTAGAAAAAAGTTTGTTATTAAATCTTTTGAACGGATTGCATCATTTATGTTATACTGAATAACCTGAAAATTTCTACTCACTGGATAAAATGTTATTGCATTCATAAATCCCATTATAAACATAGTGCATTAAAATTAATGCACTTGACGCATAGAAACACGTTAGGAAAATGTGTTTTATTTTATTCAGTGTCTACACAAGCCCATAAATCTTATTTTAACCGTAGGGTTTCGTTTAATATGGACAAAAATTACTCGAAAAATTTTTAAAATCTTGCATTCAAAGCCATGCGACAAAAGTGAAAATGAAGTAACGGATGAAAAGTGTTATCGGTAAGAATACAAAAGGAAATGCAAAATGACTTTAAAAGCGAAATGTATTTAATGTAAATGTCGTACAATATGGCATCATAAATTATAACTTTGCTACCACTTGGCTAATCGCAAAAACATATCTTTTTTTTAATGAAACAGATTAAGATAATTTGTAATATATCCGGATCATTTTATCCTATAATAGCAACGTAAGACCTTGGCCTTGCCAGAAGTCGAGTGAATTACTTCATTCATTCTTTCATCATTAAAGCAATCATAAATTATCCACCACCTAAGCCGACGAAACCTTGTCAGCATTTTTGAGCTTGTGCTTCTATTACAGAACTTTCATTAAAGATTTTACTCACATAGCAGAGCACTTATTAAATATAAAAAATAAAAGGCTAGACCCATTTAGTCGGTAGAAGCAAATATGGCGTTTGAAAAACTTCAGGCGACATTAAACCAGGCTTCCGTTTTGAAATTTCGTGAAGCGGATGATAAATTAGAAATCGGCTCAGATGCATCTGATTTCGAGATAGGAGCCGTGCTTCTCAAGACGGACAGCCTGTAAATAGCTCAAAGAATTTTTACCACAACCGACAGAGAAACAGCAGTCCTGTTGGCCATGCAAAAATGTCGAGTTTATTTTAGCAAAGAGCCGGTTACTGTATATACAGACTGTGATACATCCGTCGTGAGGTGGATTCTCTGAATAAACGTAATGTGATGTGGGAATTTAGATATAGCACACGAACGCGGCATAAGACAATCACTTTATTATAGCACGAATAAAATAAACAGATATAGTTTGCCCTATCACGCATTAAACGTGATGATGTGAAGAAGAAAATTAAAATGTGCCATGTTAGCATCTAAAATTTAAGGTCCAAGAGAAACAATTATTTCAGAACTGCAAGTAGACTCGAAATTTAAAAATACCTACACCTATTCGAAAAGTCCAGGTCATTTTGAATATTACGACATAACAGGAATTAGGAACAAAGCTGTAAATTACGATATCATTGATAATTTTCCTATTCAACACTAATGCAACAATTAATAATGATGAATTAAGACCGATTATTCCATCGAGTTTAAGTCCAAGTATTTTATATGTATTACATGGTTCGCCTTTATCAGGCTATCTCGGAATAAGCTCTGGGAAGCTGTTTATTTTCCGCAACTGCAAAGATTTGTAATACGATATGTCAAGTCCTGTAGCACTTGTCAGTTAGCCGGGTTTTGGGATCTGTCAAAGAAACGATATAGCCTATGAGGGCCAAGGTGAAAGAAGAGAACAATGAATATGTCCAAAGTGAGAAGAAGAAGAAGAAGATTCTGCACGACGGGAAGTTTTCCAACCGTACAGAAGGATTAGCGTTCTCAGTACTACCGTCTACCTATCTTATTCAGTTAGAGTTCCTGGAGAAGAGCATGGCTGAATTCCATAAAAATAAAACATAAGCGAAAAATTATCTTATTTCTTTCAGTATTTAGTTTATTTTATAGAATTGTACCAAATCTTGGCTCGAATGTAAGGTAAATAATTGCAATTATTGTACATATTATGTAAGTTTAAACTAAGGACAGTAATCTTATAAATTTTAGTATGTTAAGTTTAATGTTTTGTATGCGGGAATTATGCTAAGAACAAATATATCGTAAAAGTTAATTATGTTCTGATGCTGTTTAACGTAAAATTAAAGTAAAAGCTACAAGATGGAATGAATTGATTTAAAGTTAACATAGTGCAAATGATGTTATTTAAAAGTTAGGCTGTCCATCCAATGCTTAAAAATTAAATAAAAATTAAGCTTAGAGCATTGGGTATAGATTTTTGAAACAAGCTGTCGTAGATATCTATAAACCACGTAGAAATTTGTTTAATAGGTACTTGTTACTTTATAAGAGAACGGGGTGCGAAAAACAGTTTAGAGAAAAATAACATAAATTATGAAAATGTATTCTTATACCTGAAAAGTTGTAGCTCAAATATTTCTATGGCTAAACTATTTTGCTTTCCAGATCCTGAAAGGATGTATGACACGAAAGACTGATAGATAAAAAAATACCAAATTATCTAAAGTCAAGTTCTGTGGAACGTGAATTTAAATTTAAAATTGAATTAAGTGATTGTAAGGGTTGGCTCATGTTGTTAGATCTAAAGAATTTTAAAATTTTAGCCAAGGTCGACGAGACTTTCTTGTGAGATTATTTAAATTCTGTTCTGGAAAACATAAGGTATCTTATGTTAACCAACCAGTTATGATTTGATCTTCTTTTAGCATTTCTCCTTTCACTATTCCTCATCACAGTACAAATAGGTTCGTGTGTATTTAAGCTGAGGGTTCTGAAGCTTTAGCTGAGAGATTCTGCCTACCGCGTCTTGCAGTTAACGTCCTCCCCAGCTCTGCTTAAAAGTTATATTCCGGCTTTATCTCGCTAGCCATAGGCGCAAAACATCTCGCTAGCTATGTTTTGCACAGGTAAAATATAAGAGCCAGCTTTATTCTATGTGTAACCTAAAACTGCATTATCAACGTTCAATTTAATTGTCTCTTATGTTAATTTAAATATCAACAAATACTGGGAGTTTTGCCCGTAGCACAAGTTGTGCCTATTTTGTTAAATTTAAGACTGAATATAAAGGTTATTTTAACTTATCAGTCTTTTGTCATCTGTTTAACACTTAGCTATAACTCGCTATTTGTCTAGGAGGGTCTCTTTAACTCTAGGTACTATTTACAAGAGAAACCCTGCAACATTTATGTGAAAAACTCCTTGCCTTAATATTAAGGTACGTAAAACATCTAACGAAGAGTTAATAGTAATATTTATTTTGCCCTCATAAACTTTTTCTTTCAGCTTAAGAATATTTTTTCCTTTAAGTTATATTTAATTTTTAATTAATTATTTTCTTAAACAAGGAAATAAAATTTTAAAATTGTTTTTTTAAATAGACAAGCATTAAACGTTACCCATACATGTAGGCATAGTACGTATACCATACCTGTAGGCATAGTACATCTGTTCAAAATTAATAAAATGAACACATTTCTTGGCATTTCGCAAAATTTACGTAACAAATGTTAATAAAATTTGCACTAATACAAAGTAATATATATCAAATTGAAACCAACAGGTTATACCATACGATGCCAGCTTCAAGTAAGATTTAAGTCTTTAACTACTGTTACGAGTTTATCGTAAATGTGACTGTTTCTGTTTAGTAGTCTCATCACGAGTTGTGGCTGATACCGTTAGCACAAGAAAATACATTTATGTGCTAATTTCTAGTTAAT